ATAAACTTCATTAATATTGAATTGATGAAAAATAATAGAATATTATTTTCGTTTATGTGAATTTATAAAAAAAAATTCCCTCATTTTCGTTTCATTTTAATTAATAGAAAAAATATGATATTATAATATATTTTTAGTAGATCTGATTAATCCATCAAATAGTATACATTTTAACTCTATTAATTGAAATTAAAATATATATTTTTTGTAATTGTTTATGTTTTCATAGCATATTATAATGCATTATTCAATTATTTTTAAAACTATAAAATTTGAATCCTAAACATTATACGTCACATAATAATATAAAGAGTACTATGACAGAAAAATATTTTACTATTCCATTGAATATTATTCGTTCGTTTTTAAAATAAAATAAATTTACACATCCCTCATAACTATTAAATTGTTCACAATGCAGTTTTAAATTCTGTGCTTGCAATTTGGGTACGAATAGAAATAATTGGGTGCCAATTTTATTTAACGTAACTTCGGTATTGTCAATTTCAAAAGCTTGGATTATTGACCGAATACCAAAATAAATTATCTTAAATAGATATTTGGTTAATATTTAATAAATATACGTAATTAACTAGTGTAATATCTAAGTATCTAATATTTGCTATGTGTTTATCAAAAATCTGCAACAGGCCAAATTAGTCACTTACTCGTATATGGATACTTTTGTTTACTTTAATCCTTAGTATTATACAAAAACAAACATTTTGAAAGCAGAATCAATCATTCTAAAATAATAATTATTAATAATTAATAATTTAGCAATTATAAATGGCTAGTCTTTTGTATTGTCGGCCGCATGTTTGGTACTATTAATGTTGAAGAAATATTGACAAAAACTGAATGTAACCATTGGCAGAAAGTAGTGAAATTATATAAAAATTGATTTGGTGGATAGGGGTATCAGTCAAAATACCATTTGGTGAAAACTAATATCGGTTAAAATATAATTTTATGGACACGAGTATTAGTGGAAAAGGGAAATGTCCTCTTTAGGTAGAAACTTATTACACTCATATTTTCAATACTTACCGTGAATAAATGAAATATATAGTTGTAATATGTTTTTAAAAAGTGTAATTACGTTTTAAAGATTTCACATTACTAAAAACCCTGATAATTCAAATTACTATTCTGTAAATATTTAATAAATCATAACATATATGATATATTTAGAACTTTGTTTGTAAACAGATTCCCTACCTCAAATTAATCAAGCTATTCTATTAAATTTTTCTCTATTGCATCTCATTTAATTATTATTGAATGCACAATTTACAATAATTTAATGAAGTTTATAAAAAATAAAACTTATAATATTTTATCAATTTTTTAACTTACTTAATCCAAATTTTCTAAAAAAATAATTAAAATCAATTATTTGGCACCGTTGAATAAAAAAATATTATAAAAATGTAATTCAGAAAGATAAACGTTTGCGAATTTCTCTCGTTCAAAACAACTGATTTCAACACAAAATATATTTACTTTAATTTAAAACAGGCTATAATAATTATAGCCTGTTTGGAATGAATTATTCATTCCATCGCTCAGTAAACTAATTAACCACAAACATTATTATCCGCCTCGTTACCTACTCTGATATAAAATAATTGCATACCATAAGTAATGACATTGTTGTAAGGCACGTAAATATCGTGTACGTGCCCACCTTCACATAAAAATTGTTAAGAGAAATTGTCACGTTTGCTCAAGGAAATGTCCTTAGAAATTAAGTACGTTTCTAAAATGTAAATGTATTATACAACTGCTAACACAATGACCTACTCTAATAAAATATCGTTCCCAAAATAATAATCCAAGATGATGCAGCCCAGGGCGCGTACAATTGGCTAACTATCAAATGTAGAAATCCGATGGCCACAGGATATACGTGACGTCCGGGACGATTTCACACCAAACAGCAGTGTCTTAGCATTCACAGGACCAGCATAAATACCAAAGGGCGAGAGACAAGACAGCAGTTAGATTCCGCAGTTTAAGTTACCTACATATCACCATTGGAGATTCCACGGACTCTGTCCGTTTGTACATTGCCTGACCGTTACGACTTACGATTTAATCGCTCCGAGCCTTCTGACGCATGTAGGTGTGCACAAGGAATCTTCACTCCATACATTTTATATACTTTATCTATGTTATTGTGATTTCTCTAAACTTAAATAAATATTCACTTCCTTTACCAACAATATTGTACAATTAATTTGAAAATAACATCTGGGTCGCAACAACATTATCCTAAATAATTATTTCACTGTAAGATAGTAGATTATATAAAAATAAATATGGTATAAATATGAGTTTAATATATTAATATGAAATTATAAAAATATGAATTCATGAACGTATCTTCCGTGATTCGTAGCATTAAATGTTTAAGCAGCTGTAGAGAAATGAAAACAATTAAAACATACTCGTATTGTATATATTATTCGTGTAAGTAAACGCATTGTTGTTTCGGTGTAATTTTATATCGGAACGGTATGTGAAGTACATTATTGTTTGCAGATAAAACCGAAAAATATATTATGTAGCAACAATGAGATGAAATTGTATGGCGATCACGATATGTACGATGTAATAATTAAAATTCTAGAAAAACCGTCCGCATACGGCATTCGCAGCAACCAACTCGGCGGTAAATAGTATTGATGGTGATGTTACAAGCTCGGTGTCCAGACTTATTTAATAAATGGGCGATGGGTATCCTACAGCTCCTTCTTGTCCTCTGCTGAGTGCCCGTACTGACGATCCGATAAATCATTTTACCCCTGGAGAAATATTCGTTCAAATTGCTGTCCCGTCCATTATGGTACAACGGATAAATCGGTATCGAAGGTAAAATATTTTCAAGCTTCCTTTCATATAAATTTAGGATCACTCGGGTTGTTTTTAAAATACCATGGTTGGAATATCCACGGAGTGTATACGTTGGGTATCCGATGTTTTCGTCCTTGGGGAAACCTGCTTTGACTAAGGATACAAAAGCCGACGCGCAAACTACGGACATGGTTAACTGATACATAACAACAACGCAGTCATGGTTACGTATAATATACCCGTTTTCACTCTACCACCATCGCGTAGGTGCTTACATTGGTAATGTGTGTTAACGAAAAATACTTTTTTTTCGCCCTCTTGGGAGTTCTGAAAACACGTTACACCGAACACAAAATTCTATTCATCTCGCGTACTTCGTGATAGAATAATTGAAAAACTAAACTTTTGGTTTTTCTTTTAATAATTAATTTATTAATATTTTTTTAGGAATTCCTGATTTCCGTTTTAAATACGCATATGTCAATGTTTTGGTTTTATTCGTTCATGTTTTATAAAATATAAACATATACTGCACACAATAATACAATAATTATCTCTGTTTAAATTACGAACGATAATAATACATTTTGTTCCCGTGGAAAAAATTGAAATTGCATCATTACTTTATCTCAATGCGTAAAATCGAGAAAATGCGTAGGCAAAAACCAGTTCATAAGAGCATTTTTCACTTTGTAAGGCTCCATACTAGTTGCGTCCCAAAGATATCAATGAAAAAAGGTCTAATCCGAATTGCGGCCCGAATTTATTTTGGGTACAGACGAATTGTGGTCCGAGTTTTCTAACTCTAGATAATTTAATCTTGACTGATAAAATATTTTGTGAGACTTTTCAACGCTTTATTCTACAGTGTTTATTCTAATATTTTTGTATTCATCGATGTTCTGAAAAATGTACAGAAGAATATCTATATAAAATTAAGAAGCACTCACTTAAATACTCGCAGAACAAATATCATTGAAAAATAAATATTTATTAGAAATTCTATGAAACGGTTAGAAGAAACTCAAATTAACAAATTTAAATTTATATATCATACAAGTCTTTACCAGTACCATAATACCTAAGAACGTTACTAAATTATACTAACATTTTTAACTTTAATTATGTATTAAATACGTATTTAATACGTTTTTACTAGTGCTGAAATTTTTTAGTAAAAGCAATACATTTTAATATCAGATTTTAATGTTAAAAAAATATTTTAACCTTAAAAATATCATATCTGATCATATATGTTTTTACCAGTGCCAAAATGTTTAAATAAAAATCATCATTTTTAACCTATGTGCAGTATCTAATAAATTCGAAGGAAAATGAAGCTTTTTAAATTTAAATTTACATAAATTAATTTAATTTTAAATTTCAGGTCGCAATTCGGAAGAAATTTTTACCGCGGGACACAACTAGTAGTCACCCATTTGTAGTTGTTTTTGTTTTTTACATCATTGTTGAGTTCAATCAAAGCAATTCATTTGCACACACTTCATGAGACTACACGAGATGAATCAATAAAAAAAGAAAGTCGACTGATTTTTACGTATACAGATCTAATCTAACACCATACAAACGGACGATATGAAAAGGCACTTGAATAGGTTGCTCGGTTTGAAGTGTTGGTAGAATTCGAGTCTATTTTTATGCCGTAACTGAGACTACGAAACGATTTAAAAAGACGATATTCCCGCAATATTTCGACGAGTGGATGAGTAAGATTTCTTTATTAATTCTACACAAAACTTTTTGTACTTACAGTATGTAAATAAACGGAATATTAATATCGTATATAAATAAGCTATGTCCGTTACCATGATACGTTTATACCTTGTCGTTTATTTTTTTTCTTCTACTAAATCCAAATTAATCAGCGATATTTTTTAAACGTGTCTGTGTTAATAATAACATTAAAGGTGTACACATATAGCAGATATTACTACATTCAGTTTTTTTTATGGTTTTGTGAACTATGTGTAAATGTGTAAATTATGCGAGGGACGAAAGAAATAAAAATAGAAAAATATAACGTTAAAACTAAATGAAAGTCAATGTATATTTCTTTTTAAACAGTAAGTGGTGTATTAGATACTAGGCAATAATATTATATTTCAAAACACATGGTAGTATTAACTATCGTTAAAAATTTAATTTATGAATATCTCTTTTGGTTTAGCATTTACAAACGTATTTTCGTATAACTATAATTTATTTTCCGAAATATTACGTAACCTGAAAACTTAGTAACTAAAAACTAATAAAATTGAACATTTTCTATAAATACCAGAGAACCCGAGGGAAACATCCAGAATTTTATAACTAACTTAAATATATGCTTATCGCGGTTTAAGTGGTTTACATTATCATTTACAGTCATATGTATAGTTGTATGTAGTTGTATTATATAACTATAATTATATTTTTGAGATGTTTTCCAATCAAAAGATGTAATAACCTAAAAATTTGAATTACATGTCTGTTAACGATATATCAGTATATTTATTATTTGACAAATTAATGAAAAAAAAACAAATTTCAAATACAATCGAAACAATTATCATTACGACGTTCGTTGTACTCGGGACGACACAACGTGATGTATAATGTTTACAGAGATAAACTTAAAATATATGAAAAACTATAATGAAACTCTTGCGACACGCAATGTGTGTGTACAATGTAATAGTAAAACAATACCTATACGAGGAATAATATAACGTATTCGGTGTACATCAATCGACGTGAGTGAAGTCGATAAAACGTTGACGTCGTGTCCCGTATTGGATAAAGCGTATTGGGCTCAGGCTAGCAGACCTCTTCGGTGAACAGGTGCCGGGCGACCGTCCAGCTCGGCATCTCCGGCGTATGCGCGAACCGATCGCCGCCATTTTGACTTGAAATATTCGACTGGTTCGCTCTGCTCCCGGTGGGACGACGGGTATGACGGGACCAATGGGCGGGAGTGTTTCGGTTTGTTCTTAGAGTAGTTCGGCAACACCTCAGTCTCCCTGTTGCCTGATCCCGATCCCTTGGGTGACGGGTATGTCGGGTAAGCAATCTGGTTGTTCTTGCCCACGGCTGTCACCGCGGAGACGACGCCTAGGACGCAAGCTGTGAACACGATCGACTGCAACGTAACAATAGGTGTAGGATAATTACGCGAATTTCGTTCGAGCACCGGTACAACAGCGTTAAACGTTTACCCCCTAGTACGCTTTGCGAAAACGTGATTCGACGAAAAACTCTTTTCACTTATACCCTCTGGGGAGCACTGAAACAATTATGCTCCACCTATCACGAACTTTGTCTTGTACAATCGTTGAAGGGTATATTTTTGGAATCAAAATATTTTTATTTTTATTTTTTACTATTCTTTGTCAATGCAGTCCATTTAACTTTTCGGCAAGTCAAGAATACCTTTTATATATCACCATTGCATTTCACTGTGGTCTGAAATCCTATTTTAGACGAAACAAATTAATATATAATTCTTAATTTTAGTTAAAACGATTGTTTAATATATCAAAACTACATGTTTCGAATATCCTAAATCCTATAATCCTTATTTTAAGCCTCATGCGCTCCCCCTGAAAGTTTTCTTAAATAAATATATTCATTGATAATTACAAATTTCAAGTTATTTGTTTTATATATTTTACCTATGGGAAGTAACGCAGATTAAATAACAGTAGTGCCATGTATTAAAATTATAACTCAACTAATTTTGTATAATGTGAATCCCATTCTTAAATTTCATATCTAGCACTCAAAATGTCGAGTAATTTTTTGATTTTACAGAGTGAAAATTGAATGGATCTCTATTTTTTAATAGTTGATATGATATAAATCATCATAAGTATAAAACTGAGAATATGAATTACTACAATTTAAATTTAAATTTTCGTAAATGTCGATATAGCCTATATCGATGTTAATATTATTATCTATGTTTATTATTATCTTATACAGAAGAATATGTAAATTACATCTTATATTTTTTTTAACGACTTTTTTTAATTATTCTTTTAACTACACATTTTAAGATATAAGTATTATTATTTTTATGCGATTCTTCTAAATAATTTTTATGTTTATCATCATAAAAATACATATTACTTGTATTAAATACTTACTTTGGTGTTTGCAGTATATTTCTTATTTGAGAATACTAAAATTTAACAAAAAAAAAAAAAAATGTATGCTTTTAAAATATGCAACAAAATTTGAATGAGAATAAATGTTGAAGTAATAGTTACATGAAAACATTATCAACTTTTTTTCAATGCTTGAGCTGTCTAACGAGCTCCATATAATCATAGATATTATTTTTATATTTCCTATGATATATCTATATTGGATTATTATAAAATAATATTTATTTCAATGAACTTTAAAAATGGACTTTGTTCCGCCTAAAATTTGGTTTCAGACCACTGTGCGTCTGCCCATTAGTTACCCACAATATTGAGCTTTTTATGTCAAACTTACATTATGAAAAAATATCAATCTACAACTAATAAGCTATGTGGAGATTCATATTGACCAGACTCAAAAAAAAATGATACTGAAAATAAATACCTTACTGAAAAATAAAGAGTACATTAAAGCGTTTTACTTCATCTTAAAAACGTACAATATAGCCAATCAGCGTTCTACAAAAGCAATTTTATTTTATTTATTTAAATATTAAAATAAACTGATTTACTATCAATGTTTGTAGAAAACAAGTTTCAAAAGGAATTGAATCCTGGAATCAATTGTTTTTTTAAAAAATGGTACACTGAACGAATTCGTTTTTATAAAAATGTTTTTTTTTTTTTTTTTTAAGAAGAAGAACAACATTTTTCTATCCTATTGAATTTTAATTTACACAAATATGTAAATATTTGAAATTAATATTTATTTTTTCTAAATGTGTATTGCCAATTAGTGATCATTATCAAGTATCTACATTAACCATCACAGCTACTTTCATTTAACCATAATTTATAAAGTATAAATTTATAAAAAAAAAATAACATTGTGGATGAAATAAGCATTTTTATTTTATTTGGAACCAAAAAAGAAACTCGTTAGTTTGTCATAGAATAGTTTTTTTTTTTTTTATATTTAAAACACGGACGAAACGAACTCCATTTTTTTAAAAAAACAACGAGAAACAACGAAATGAATACTTTTTTTTAAAAAACTTGCCAAACACTGCATATTATTAAATTTATATGGTTGAACACAATTTGTGCAATGTCGTGTAATTTTTATGATATAATGACAAAATTAGTTCTATTTAATACGAATCTGCTATGTCTTACATTTTTAAACGGGAACAACTATGTATACGTGTATGGTATCCTATAATCTTTCTTTAATATATTTAAATTATTTAAGTTTCCACACTTAAACATATATATATACAAGTTCCTAAATTATTTTTAAATTGTAAATGGAATTTAATTTAATTTTTTAAATGTTATCCAAGTAAATAGGTTTAAACCGATGCCAATAAAAATGATTATTTCTGATATCTTGTACATGGGGAAGTGAATGGTATTAAAACTAACTTCGTCGTTAAAAGTGATTTGTGTTGAAAACAACTATTCATCATGTTATTGCATCGAGATTGCGAAAAACCGGTTGAACACAACAGGGTCCCTATCGCTGTTATAGTCGTTATGTTATTATATATATACACAAAAAATGAGATCGTATATTATAGTTCGATATTTTCGCTTATAAAATGAGACGCAATATCCGTTACGAAAGAACGTTTAAGTTGGCCGATTAACAGTGCCAGTTGTTTGTTAGTGAAATTTGGTAAAAATAATATAAAATGATGTGAAAGGATGATTTTCTTGACATATTTTGACAAAATAGTGTGTAAGTATCGGTAAACATATTTATTTTGGACCCACGTGAAAGTTTCAATAGTTTTCATACGAGAAAAAAGAAATTAGGAATACCGGGCAATTTAAACCTCAAATAGCAATAAATAATTTTATTGTAAAACTTTACTTTTTTAATTTTATAGTAATAACTGTAAAATATTTTACTAATAATTTACTATAATCACCCTATTCAAAGAATGCTACGAATTCTCAACTCTTCTTAACTCAACCCCCGTTCAAACAACCAATATTAAAAAATCTCCCATTTAAACTTGGAATAATTATCTCCATGTTTACTCCTCTTTCTTCCAATTATTTATCATTAAGTTATTATTGTAAACACTTTAATTTTATATATTAATCACTCTACACAAAATACTATACTAGTTATTTAATTTCTCTGTAATTGTTGAAAAAAATGGCGTTAAAGAAATAAATTAAATAAATAGATAATTTTGTTATTAGTTACTACATATTTACTAGATTCATTGGGTTAATCTTAAATATAAATTATTGTTTCGTATTGCATATATACAGCCAGTACAAATTAAGTGCACTTACTTTGATACGCATGGCACGGTAGATGTTGGAATACGTGGTGGAGTGGATACAAGTGGACGACTGGCCCGTCGGACCAGGTTTCCGGTAGTATATGTATGTGTGCGTATAGGTGGGAATGGTATAACCGACCGGGGAAGGGGTGCTCGCATTTGAGCACAGCGGGTGAGCGTGCAGGATACGTGCGAGCCCGGTCAAGGAGATCGTCCGGTTCCTCTTTCGGACGGACACGAAGTCAAGCGTTCGTGCGATGCAGTTAGCAATTGCCGGTGCTCGCGGCTCGTAGACCGGCGCTGAAATGTGGGCGGTCCCCAAACGATTGCTGGTGAACAGTTGGGAACGAACAACCGTTTTCGCGAAGGGATTCCATATCACCATTATAACGCGCCGACGGGTAACTGCAGCGTGTGTGGAGTGCGTTTCCGTCACCGTTCCGAGACCTCAACAGAACCAAGGACCTTTCCCGGATCCGAAAACCAACGAACTGCGGTGGATATCGAAAGCTATTGAAGGGCGCGCCGAAGTCGAGAACATTTGTACCCATTGTCGAACGTATACCCGACCCTTTTTGAAACGGATACGGAATCATAGTGTACATTGTCACGCGTTAGGTTATCGGGGATGAGTTCGCGGAACGGAATTTTCCGACTCGTTCGAGGCGATACGTAGCTAGTGTGCCAAACGATCAAGGCTAATTGTTTGTAAATGTCCACCTCTGTCTGAAATGAGCAGAACATCTGGTTAGACATTAACTAATACCTGATTAAATAATATTTACAATAAATAACCCATTCTTGACCATGCGCAGTTTGAGCGTTGGTCTTATCAACCTATATGCAATTAGACCGTATGATCTTGTATTTTGTCGGAGAATACTTAACAAACGAATATTTTCGTTTTAATAAAACTTTACAACGAAATAAAATAAATCACGTGATTAAACGTTTTTTATTTAGATGGGTATATAATTGTGAATTCTTCACGTTCAAAACAACTTACTTTAAAACGAAATTGATTTCATTTTGAAACACGTCGTACATTTCTATCTAAAAACAACATAAATTAATTTACTAATTGGATGCACTAATTGGAAATTACTATTCATTAAAAAAAAAACGATTAGTTTCCTCAAAAAAAAAAAAAAAAAAAAATAAATAAATAAATAAATGCTCGTCGTCACATTGTTCTACAGTTTTCGATTATCAACGATCGACATTCTAGCCGATGTACTACGTTTATTCTTTTGAATAACGTTGTTCTCCTATCCAAATTTTTGTCAAGCACAATCCATTGTTGTTCCAAGATACACTAACGTTTACCTATACATATAGTTTTTCAGTTAAAATCAATAGAGTTATGATTATATTTAGTCTTTGCTTGGCCCTAGTAAATAATGAGAAATAAGAGAAAAGAAAGAAAATTAAGAAAATAAAATAAAAACAACTAGGTTCTCATATGTTGTACGTTCTAAATAAAAGTCAACAGATATTTTTTTTTAATCAGATGAGGTACAAGAATTTAAGATTTTGAAATGACAGGTAAATCTTTTGTCGTTATTACCGACTCTGCGTCGAAAATAACATTATTCATTTTTATTGTGTCTTTGCACAAACAGTATTTTATTTAATATTTTACGCACTTACAACTATAAAGAAAATTTAAGTACAAGGACAGTTTAGGTTCTCTCTATGTTTGAAAATGAGTCGATCAAATAGCACAATAAATTGGTTCTACTAATCATTGATTTATTGCATTCTACGTTAAATAACACGTGCAACTTTTCAATTATAATTATAATAATGCTTAGATTAAATATACATATATATACAATACTATAATTATTACAATACGATTCCGTGGAAGTCTATCATGATGAATATGTACTTTGCAGTGCTTTGGAGTTGTGTATATATGTATATTATGTGTATTATAATTATAGTTTGAGGTATTTACATTAGCCGAGTATGACTAATTTGTTAATGTAATCAAAGGTAGTTGTACCTTGTTTCATTTACATATTATTCGAATGAAACAATACTCACTGTACCATAACGTTTTCAGCACTAAAATAAGTATACATGTGTGTTTTAACATATTTATATTGGAGTATGCAATTTTATCGTACTCTACAATCGTGTAGATTGTGTCAACTATTTCGTGGTTAGAACACACGGTTTTAATAATCATCAATCGGGTATGTTTAAATAGTTATGTATTACACAGGTTTATAATATTATAATTTAGTTACCCGCAAGATGCTTAAGTTCGTTTAATGCAAATCGAAGACACATAAAGTCGCAGTAAACGAGCACAACTACTAAATGTTTAATATTTAAATATTATATAATAAATTACAGGTATACTGTTATTAATTATTGTAATCATCCTATTATATAAAAATGAACGGGCTGCGTTTCAACAATTATAATTTGATAAACGATTATGATGTGTACTACACGAATACAAATTATCGTCAAATTAGTTCAGAGCGTTCACTGTTGGAATGCACCCAAAAAAATATCTTTATTATTGCTTGATAACATTATTTTCTATTCGAATACTAAAGTATGAAATTATTCAAAATATTTTCATTTTTTTTTTTTAATTCATGACAATTCCAGACATGTAATTTTTGTTTTGAATGGTAACGTTGTCATAGATTTTGGCGGTGTCGATTACCAATTTATAACCAATTACCACAAAATAACATTCGTATTTGAAGTTACAATTATTATGCATAAAATTATTTTTTCAGTTTAAATGTATGTAAAGATTTTTAGAATTTTGTGACGTATATTTAGTACTTATACACTTTTTGCTTTTTAGGTATTGTTCAGATTTTTTCACCAAATATTACGCTTAAGGCTAAAATTTAATGATACTCACCAAACTAGACTTACGGTTGTTAAATTTCAAATAATAATAATTTAAATAATTTTTGAATGAAAATTTTTATTATTTTGCATACCTACCTTCAGTTACACTGTAAAATTAAAATATTTGTTTAATTAAAACTAAAGATGATGATGTCGGTCAGTTAATACATGTTTGTATGCTGAAAAACTTCGTTCTACATCAACGGACGTTAAGAGTGTATACTTGAAGTAGATCATGTCATCAGTAATTAAATTTGGAATATTTTCTCTTCTTGTATTACTGCAATCTTGAATTTTAGAGATGTTGGATACAATTTAAAATACATTATTCATCAAAAGAACGATCTTAATTTTAGTTGCAATTGCTTTTCCAATTTAATTTTAGGCGTTATTGATTAATGACGTAGAATTTAAAAATTGTTTTAAGTATTTTATTTTTTCTCATAATAACATTTCAGATATAAGTATAAATCCATAATTAAATTTTGATTAAATTTAAATTGTTTCGAAACTTGGGTTTAAATCTTGTTCTCTTGCGTTTGTAATTGCGATTGAATCATTTTTGTTCAATTCCAGAATCCATTTTTATGTATCGGATGCGGTAAACTTGTATTGGTATGCGACAAGTTTAATCGCAAAAAAAAGACCTTTAATAATAATATAATAATTTTTTTCGAATATTTAAATTTTATTTAAAATGTCCCACATTATATAAAAATTCCTAAATGTGTCCTATAATATGAAAAAACTATGTAAAAATATAAAAAAATTTGTTAAACAAAAATATGCATTTATAGTTAAAAAGTTAAGAATGCTCAAAAATTAAAAATAAAATAAAATTAGTATATTCTGAATGGAACAAATTTTTAGCCATAGTAGATTTTATGGGATCAAAGAAAAAAATGCAAAATCTGTTAACATCCAATCTCTAGTTATGACAATAGCAATAATTCACGTCATAACATTTATGTTACTTCGACGGATGAAATCGTCTCGCCACGTATAAGTCCCTGTTCGATGGAATTAATGTTTTCTTTTTTTCATAATATTTACATGATTTTGGCATTCAAAAATAAAATTTATCTTTAATTATTGCTACATTTTTTTTAACAAATGGACTACATTGTTTATGTGTCTTATCCTATGATTAGACACTTGTGGTATGCTCTTGGCTCCTAGATACCGTATGTGCTGCAATGCTACTGTATATGTCTAGCTGCGGGAGCAGCTGTACATTATAATATTCTTTCGTCTTGTCTTGGAAAGAAAAAGCATTCGGGTTTTTAAAACTCTGTCTGACAAATATGTGTTAGTCTGTTCACTATTCATTATATTTTTTTACAATGTAAAGTTTATTTTTCAGGTGTACGCTTTTTTTTGTTTAATTTTTTATTTACTTTTTTCTTTAGTGAATAAATAGTACTTCGACAGTTTTGTAAAGTTGTTCGATCGACTGAAAATTCAACCATAAATAAAAGTTGACTTTAAAAAATCATCTCTGGTACTTCTCATAAAGTTTTCAGTAGAGCAAAAATGTGGTATAAAAAACCATGAAATATACTGCAATGTTATTTTGATATTTAATACTAATAAAACATGTTTATAGCGTCTAATTAATTATCTTATAAAGGCTGTGTGCATTTTTTTTATCCAAGGATCTGTTAAAAAAAATTCTAAAATTAAAAATTATAATTAAATGTAATTTAATATAAAAATATTGAACTTAATTATACAATGTTTATTACATTATTCCTCTATTACTCCGTTTACTAAACTTCCAAAATATTTAGCCAGCTAGTCATAACATGTAGTGATGAGCAACTAAAATTTAAACTTAAAAAAAATAATTTTTACTTAACGCTCTACTATAGTAATTTAAGGCTTCTTGAAATTATTTATTTTTAAATACTAGAAACTTAATAGATTATCGATGTTACTACAATTTAAAATTAAACAATTTTCTCTGGTGCTATGTTGTTTTATTATGCAACCATGTAATTTGTTTTAATCATTTAAACAAATGTACATGTATGTAATTAAAAACCATTAACCGAAAATAATTTTCATAGCAAATCTTAGTATATGAGTATATACTCGATGTATACTAAATCACTATAAATAGTTACACTGGCATGGACTTACCGAATTATCAACTTTCGTGCTTACCGATGCTCTGGGCCTTTTTTGCTTATTGCCCGAGCCCTGAACGCAATATTCTGATCATTTTCGACCTTTAGAATACCTTAGAACCAAAGGCGTATTTTTACCTACGCAACAGAGCGTTGATGCATATGAATACAAGGAGGTGAAAAGCAATATTGAGTCGTATCAGGCCTTAAGTGTGGAACAAAAATAATTTTTTCTCGTGCCAAATGATTAATTCCGTGACGGTCTTCAATAGTTATTTTTTTTTTCGTACAGTCGATTGATCGTCCTGCAGCTCGCAGTTATGCAGCCATCGACCCCCCCCCCCCCGCGGGTTAATACGTGCACATTCACGTGCTAGTACAGATGACTT